AAATGAACTTCAAATAACCAAAAATTTCCTTGAATTCTTAGTAGAAACATTCAGGACGGTAGCGCATACAAGGGGGGCTGAGGATCCGGACCCCCCAAAGCCCTTGATTTTTTTTCCGATTGATTATAATTCTAAGTATATCTTACGCAAAATTTAATTAATTACTTGTTATTAATGATGAATTTTATTAATTAATGCTAATTATTTATTCAAAAATTAGTTTTTTTACTGTGTTTTGTTCCCGAAAATCGACAAAATCAAAAGGAGCATGATACAAGAATGGTGAACTTTCGCCCCCGGACCCCCCGAAAAATTCCTGTTCCTGTGTGCGCTACTGATTCAGGATATTATTTTTGCTCAACCTGTCATTGCCACAGCGATCGGTACATGTTCCTGACATTTTAAAAAGATTAATACAACCCTCTTTTTTTAATTAGAAAAGATGATTAATTTCTCCTATTTTTGAAAATGAATTAATATGACTCAATAAGAGGCTCAACAAAAGATGACTAAACTGGGAAATAAATTGTTATAAGTTCCAAAGAAAAGAAACGTGAATCAATTAATTTTTAACCCTTATAGACCTTAAGGTTACTAAGAGTAATATAAATCTGTAAGTGAATTTTAATTTGTTTAAGTGTAAAATAAATGAAAATCATAGGAAAAATATATAACAATGTGTAGTTTATTAGAATTTTATGGAAATAGAAAAGGATTGTTTGTCTCTATCAGACATTTATTTTCATTTTTTTTGTTCAAATATACTTTATTATTGCGCAAATGCACAAAACTATTCTTACCGAATAACAAAAAACATGTCAGAAAACACAGTAACAGATTATTACACAAAGCAATAAAAAAAACCAAAAAAAAAAAAATTGAAATTTATAACAGAGTACAGCCTGCAAATGTCTTATAAGTGACATAGATTTAACAGTTCTTTTCTGCTACGTGTTCCCGGATATGTAATCGTGCCCGGCATAAGTTTTATTTTTACATTCTATATAAAAAAAAAATGCAGAAGGTTCCAATTAATTACAACAATCACAAATTTTAAAACGGGGAAGATTTTTTCTCTTAGACGTAAAAGAGTTAAATTAATTTCCAAAACTAAAAAAAAGCGTTTTACTGTTCGTTAGAACTCTGGAGAAATCAGACTAGCAAAACTGACAGCCTAACAATGCGTTGAGATTCGATATAAATACACTGAAGTGCCACTAAATTAGGGATAACAAGGGCTATGCAAAATGTGTAGCGCTGCGCATCATTTATGCGCAAGTGTGCATTTACTGTGGTAACTGCATAAATAGCGCGTACTGGGGATTGTTTTGAATTAATTTTTGGAATTGCCAGTATGGGTAAACTGTCTGATTTAGACGCCTTCGATCGCGGACAAATCGTAGGTGCGCGACGCATGGGCCATTCAATTTTCGAAAATCGTCAGACAGCTAGAAGTTTCAAGGTCGACAGTGTCAAGAGTATACCAAGAATACATGGATGGTGGACAAAAGACTAGCGATCGAGCAAACTGCAAAGGACAATTAGTCTTGACAGTACGTGGTGAGAGAAAGCTTAGGCGTATTGTACCTAACCTGCGAAGCCAAACATTAACTCAAACTACCACCCTGTTGAATGACGGTGCCAGTCGTACAGTCAATAAACGGACTGTGCAACGCTCGCTTCACCGTATGGGTTTCGAGAGCAATCGACCTACGAGAGTACCATTGCTCAATGCTCGCCATCGGGCTGCACGTCTTGCCTGAACAAGAGAGCTCAGAGACTGGAGTGTAGATGCCTCGAAACGGGTAGCATGGAGTCATGAGTCCCGATTCCGATTACAACCCCGATGGGAGGCTGAAAATATGACGTCAGGCTCCTGAAACCATGGATCCTGTATGCTAGGTTGGAACTGTACAAGGGCATGGAGGCTCTATTATGATCTGGGGTGTTTATTCGTAGCACTGTTTGGGTTCTTTAGTGCGAATACCAACCTCCTGCAATGCAATTCGGTACGTAGAGTTACTGAGAGATCATCTCCATCCGCTTATACCGTTCTGTTATCCGCACGGTAATGGAGTTTTCCAAAAAGACAACTGTATCTCTCATGTCCCGGTTAGCTACTGATGGGAGGCCGCCGGTGCTTGAGATACAATTTTAACTTTGCATTTGCCCTGTTTACAGGAAATAGGAATTATACAAGAATGTGAGTGCGTCCAGGTTCAACGTACTTTATAGCCGGCAAGGTTGTGTTCTTGCGCGGACTGTTGAGTCCAATCAGGGTGGTAGATTTGACGGTAATGAGTCCGTAGCGGATTCTTTTCGAAGTGGTGCGGTCAGCTTTAAAAGCACTGACACGCCATTTCTCTTGGCTTTTCCCCTTATTTTATATATTTCCAGAAGCACCAACCCGTCTGGAAAGAGAACCCCCTGCCAGGGGTCAACCACCATCCAAACTCCCCTTTCACTCAGATAAGTATCGTCATTGTTCTTTTTTAATATTGTTTTCAGTATGTTTGATAATAAATACAATTGTTTACCACTATACGACCGGATTGTTAATTTAGTGTAAAGTTAATTTGTCAATAGAAGATTCTTGTTTATTTTAACTATGATCATAAAGCGATGTGAAATTAGGAAACTGGGTTCACAATTTAGAAATTAAAGAAGTTAAAAATAGCGTCGCATCACTTCTTTCTGGTTGGATGAGCACTCTTCTGGCTTTTCTGTCATAATTGGCCACCTAGAAACCCAGACTTAAAATCCTATTGGGAATCTCCGGGATTTTTGGAACAAGGCATGGAAGACCATCCCACAGCACCAACGAACCTTATAGAACTATGAATAGCTTTAGCCAATATTTAGCAAGCCATTCCCATGGAACGTTTCCAGAAGCTTGTTGAATCTATGCCTCGTCATGAGGCAGCCGTTATCAAGGTCAGAGGAGTCCTAACTCTTTACTAGATAAGTATCCCTAATTCAGTGACACTTCAGTATACATTAATGTGAGATTCCCAAGTTTAATTCGTTCACACCAGTGTTTCTCAAACTGTGGGGCGCGCCCCTAGGGGGGGGCATAATAACCCTACAAGGGGGGCGTGAGCATATGGAAATGTCGAAAATAACACATTATTTAGAAATATTATTAATTTACCGAAAGGAAACAAAACAAAATACATTCTGACATAAAAAAGTAAAATACGCATTTACACTAATATAATTTGTTTATAAATGTATCAGTACTGAACATTTATATACAAATTATTTGATAATTAATTTCACAATGCCAAGTTAAGAACAAGTTTAACAATTACCAGTGACCCCATGTGCTTGTCACATATAAAATTATAAAAAAATTTAATACTTATCTTGATAATTTGTTCGATTTGTAATTCAATTCGTATTGTAGATTTACTTCAAAGTACATTATTATTGAGTTCAATGCATTGTTATTGCTTGGATGGGGGAGGGGGACGTGAAGAAAATTATGACTGAATATTGGGTCGCAAGTATTAAAAGTTTTAGAAACACTGGTTTATACACTAATAGCATATGCAAAGATACAACTTTCGTGGCAACACTATTAATGGAGCGTACATCTAATCTTTTTAAAGTTAGAAGCTTAAGGCGCATTTTGCTGAAGAGTGAATCTAAATTAAGCGTCAGATTCGGCAGCGTTACGCTCAATCGGTTTTCTCTGCTCCATTCCGCAATCGTGCTCGGGTCGATGACACTCGTTTGTTTTGAATCGAAAACTTTTTAGGCACGTGTTTTTTTAAGTAAAAGTTTTATGCACACTTTTTTCCGTGGAGTTTTATTTTTGTTTCTTAAATATTACTGTCGCTCAGTCCCCTTCCACTCAACTCCAGCGATTGAACGACAAAAGAAGAGCACAAGCAAAAATAATTGAAAAACAAGTAATATATTTAAAAAAATTAAGTCAATTCCTTCTTATGTCAACAAAGAATTTTATTTTAGTTACTTTTTATTAAATACTCACAATTAATATATATATATGTATATACATATGTGACAGAATCATAACATTTAGTGGCAGTTAATTTTTATTAATTATCATTGAAATATCGTATTGTCATCCAAAACAATCGTGTACATAAAATTTCAGTTCAACTGAATGTTTTAAAACGTGAGAAATAAAATCTTTACAAGTTTTGACACAAGTCGCCAAAAGGGTCTCTAAGTCGCCAAAAGGGTCTCTAAGTCGCCAAAAATGATGCCAACGTGGCGGTATTTGTAATTCTTTAAATAATTAGTTTTAATCAATCAATTTTTATGAATTATAATTAAATTATTGTATTGTCATCCAAAATAAAACCATGTTTATAAAATTTCAGCTCAATTGAGCGCTTTAAAATGTATTTTATTAACGATTGAAAATTCCTCCAAGATAAAGAAATAAATATATAAAGAGTGCAAGCTAATAGTAGAAATTGAAAAAATTAAGTGTCACTTATGTCAACAAAGAAAATTTTTATTTAAGTTATTTTTTATTAAATACTCACAATTCATATATAAATATATGAATATACATGTGACAAAATCACAACACTAAGAGACAAATTAGAAAGTGATTTTCCTTGCAATTTTCCATTCTCCTTTCTATATATGGTGTCGGACTATTGCTTTTGTTTGTTACTACTTATTCATTAATTGTTGTTGTTGTCGTGTGTTTATTACTGGGATACATACGAAAGACGTGAGATAGATGAACAGAAACATATAACACAACCACAGAAGAATACAGATGCTGCTTTTAGTGCGCTGCTTTTACTTTCGAGACGGGAATTCATTTCAGGCGAAAGACTGACTTCTTTCCCGAAGAAGATACAACCAAGTCTTACTCGGGATTCGAACCCGAACCCACTCGGTTACAAGCCGAGGGTCATAGCCACCATACTGGCTGGGCGACTATTCATTAATTAAATTTAATTATTCTAATAAAATAGTATAGTAAAAAAAAATCACATTCTCAGAATTTAGGCCTTCCCAGGTGGAATTCGAAGACACGACCATTGGATTAGAAGTCCAACACGCGCTGCCCATTGCGCTACAGGGACACAATGAACGATTTTCCGTTCTATATATGCTGCTGGACTATTACTTTTGTTTGTTACTATTTATTCATGTTTTGATCTAATTAATGAATTAATATTTGGAAAAACTGTATTAACATTAAGTATCATCCATTACAAGCTTAAAAAAATGCATTTGAACTTGAATGGATGAATAGAAAGTTCACTGCTGACCACACCGTAAATGCAACACCAAGAAGACAAGAGATAGCACAACAAAATTTATTTTGTAGATAACAAGTTGACCAAGTATCAAATGATTAAATTTATAGACTTCTGTGAAGTGTGGTTCCTGCCAGAATCAGTAACCAGAGTAGCCGCCATTGTTGGAGATCACCGCTGCTACACGCCTCGGCATTGATTCAAAGAGACTTTGGATGTGTTCTTGGGGTACAGCAGACCAAGAAGCTTCCACACGTTGATCTGGTGTGGCAGCTGGGGGTGTAATCTGGGTCAATCATTGAGCAACCATTGACTACATGTTTTCTATCGGCGAAAGATCCGGAGAGCGAGCCAGCCAGGGAAACCATTCAATCTGGTGATTGACGAAGAACCTTTGGACAATACGTGCCAGGTGTGGTCATGCATTTTCCTGTTGAAATATGGCTAAGGCCAAGACCTGAAGGTAAGGAAGGACAACTGGCTCCAACACCTCGGAGATGTAGCGATGGCTGTTTAAAGAACCGGCAATGCGTATTAGAGGAGTGCGAGAGTGATATCCAATACCGCCCCATGCCATAATATACGGTGCAGGACCAGTGTGGTGGTGCATAACGCAGCTGTTCAGCATCCTCTGTCCACGGTGTCTCCAGACTCGAATCCGACCATCGTGGTGTTGCAGACAGATGCGTAACTCGTCAGTAAAGACAACTTCATTCCATTCAGCCGCCCACATCCTTCTTTCACCACACTATTGGCGGCGGAGACATCTGTGGCTCTGCGTCAAGGGTAGATCAAGCAATGGACCTCTTGCGGATAGACCACTCTGCTGTAAACGGCGTCGAATGGTACGCGCAGACACTGACAGATGCGTTACAGACTCAATGTGCTGTGCTACGGTTCGTGATGTGACTGAGCTATCCGTCACTGCCATGCGTACATTTTGCCTGTCTTCACGAGAAGTGGTGCACTGAGGTGGATGAGATCGACCACATCAGTCCATCATACGCTCCTGCATCCGACGGTCACATATCTGCAGTACAGTTGTTTGGTTTCGTCCAACACGACTACCGATTTCCCTGAAAGATAATCCACAATCTCGGTAGGCCACTATCCTTCCTCTGTCGAACACGGATACTTGATCAAAAGCTGATCGCTGTTTTCTACGAGTTATAACTGGTCGTTTTTTGAAAAAAACACAAGAAAAGCACAATTGACGAACTTGAAATCGTCGAAATATCCAAGCGTTAAATAGCGCTTTGAGGTGGCGCCACAGGCACGCGTGATGTGTGTCTGCGCTGAAATTCTAATCATTTGCATATCTCACCTCTGCTAATGCATGTTGTAAATTTCATGTTATTTGCATGCTTCCTTGAGGGTGTTGCATTTACGGTGGCCAGCAGTGTATTGTGTTAACGATTGAAAATTTGAACAATATATATATATATATATATATATATATATATATATATATATATATATATATATATATATATATATATTACTTCTATAATATTGCATGCTAGTAGTAATGATACTGTGAAGTAAGTGGCCAGTAGCAGGGATTTCTTAATATTGGATGCATTTTAGATGTTGGTTGATGTTACATATTTATGGAATCGATAAGGTAGTCTTGTAGTTAGTTATCCAGTTTATTATTTAATGGCACATTTAACATACTGCGTTACAACATAACAAGAAGCAGACAAGAAGTCACAAAACACAGAACAAAAAAACTACTATACTACGCGCTACAGCCGGCTACATGTTGAAGGCAAAGACAAAAGAGAAAGAATTTCCAGAATTCTCGTTATTTATACTTAGCGGCAAATCACATGATTTGGGTGGCTGGATGGATGTAATTCCAAAAGTCCCTGTTAGGCGGGTAGCTAGGTAAAATAATTAAACTGTTGTCTTGAAAGACTGGACCACAGATAAATCAAAAGCTATTAAAGATTAAATTACTGGGAATTATTACACACACACATATATATGGGGGGGGGAGAGTTATCTAATAGTGAGAATTTGGAAAAAAAGATTATTCTTATGTAGGAGATGGAAGATAAGAAGATACGAAAAACGTGGGATATAAATTTTAATTCAGTAGAAAGTGCATTTAAGCACAAGAATATTCCAAAAGAATTAAATTCCAAAAATTTAATAAACTTATGTTGCGAGAAAGTTGCCAATATTTTGGTTTAAATTAGTGGTGACAACTAAGAGATTACGACAAAATAAAAGCATTAATTATGAAAAAGTACGAACCCTCTTCTTTTGTTTGCTTAAAAAATTTTAAGATCGTCTCTCAGGGAATAAGTTTTCCTTGCCTTACATAGTATACGGTGTTATATAAGTTATATTAACGGTACGATATTATCGCAATGGTATTGACAGCATTGTATGAAAGAAAGCATAAATTACGAGGTCCGTCGCCAAAAACCCTTGAGTGGCGTAATAGTAACATTAATATTCACTCACTCATGAAATCCAATTCAGCGCGTATGACACATGCGAAATCCGGGTCGTCAACTTGGTGAGTTATTTTGAACGTTAGCAATCTTGCGATAGTATGTAAGTACCATATAAACATATATAATACATAAATATAATCTACATAATTTACATATGAATATTTTTAAATAATTGGATTAATTGACATATTTAAACTGCATATACCCCTATTTAGATACATATGAATGCATAACTATTTAAACATTGCCCTATACAGAAGATGAAATAAATAAATCTACCAAAGAATGAGCTCGAAAAAGAGAACTACTTAACGCCCGTATGTGAAAATGTCGTAAAAGAAAACGTAGAACTTCCGAAAAATTAGATTGTCTTGCCCATAATAAATCGGAAGTTTTCACTTCTATCGTGTGGTCATAAGCACACACAATTTCTTTTTACCTGGTTTATAGATACACACTTCGAAAAACCGAATCAAATGCGCAAAAATAACATGATTTGCCTAATAAAAAGAGGGATTCGTTGTGCGTCATCCAAAAACTGTGTATGATAAAATAATCCTATTTAATTATAAATACCTAATAAAAAAGCGAATGAAAAATCAACTACATAAGTTTTTAGTTTGGGCATTAAACTTAAATACTTTGTAGCAGGCTATGTCGTGAAGGTTCCTTCTTAAGCCTAAGTTAGGGTTGTTTGCTTTGAAGTTTCATTGAAAGTTTTAACTGCCACCTCCTTACAATGGAAACGACATATGCAGGTCTGGTATGTAAAATAAGGATTTTGCGTGGGTAAATGAGTTATCTGATATTTAGCATGACCAGCATGAGCATTTATTGATTCAGTCTGCTAGTTAGAAATTCCTTGCCTATATTTAGGCGTTTACCCGTAGGCGTTAAGGGTCAAGTACACGGGGCGAGTTTACAAGCTACAAGCCGGCGAGTAAGAAGCCGGCGAGTTGGCGAGTGCGCTAGTTGTCAAGTACACATAAACATTCCACTCGCTCAGTAGCCAAGTAGCTGGCACGTGGAAATATACATTTTCAAGACCGTTCTACTCGTTGCTTCTGGACAATCCACAAGCTACTGTCAAGTACACTTGGCTAGTTTACAATCTAAATCGTTCAAAAGCCGGCGAGTGGCGTGTAAAGTCGCCGGCAGAGTCAACTTTTTCAAGAGCTTTTTTAAAAGCAGCTTTTAAGCGAGTGCGGTGAGTACACTGGGCTAGTTTACGAGCTGCTTGTAAAAAAGCCGGCTTGTAGCTTGTAAACTCGCCCCGTGTACTTGACCCTTTACCGCCGAAGTAATAAAGTTCACAGATAAGTGCATTTTGATTTTGATAGATAATTGATCTCCTTGTACCTTGAGTTATCCTCGTAATGGATAAGTTGTTCATTGGTTAGTTGAGTTTCGGATTATTTCCTAATGTTTTGTGTCATGTCGGATTTTAGTCCCAATCTTGAGAGTGTGGGGAACCTTAAAAATTCTGGAAATAGTAATCCATCGGTACTTGTTGATAATAAGAGCTTTTCCTTAGGACGAGATGAGACACTGTCCAGAGAGTGAGTAAGTTAGAGACTATTTACATCGCACTGTTCAGCTGTTCTAGGGCTTTTGGTGCCGGACCTCGAAATTTTGAACCCAGGTCCAGCGACGAGGACGGCACCTGAGCTAGCATAACCCTGTCCTAACTACTACCACACGAAAAGGAGGACGTCTGAGCTCCCGCTAGATTTAATGTGTATCGCTCCCCTATACGGTGGGTCTTCAGCGGTACTGGACTCGAACTCACGACTCGCTGGTCACGAGTCTGTTACCTTAACCTTTAGGTTACCACGGCCACGATTCACTGTCCAAGTAATAGGCTAAATTCATGTGACGTCAATGGTGCACACAGGAATTTTTCAAGAGGAAGAGGAAGGGGGAGGGGATCAAATGTCGAAAGTCTATCATTCTCGTTTCATACCCCAATACGCCGCCAAATATATTCTTTTGATTTTTTTAATTGCCGGGAACAAAAAACGGTAAAAAATTAATTATTGAATAAATAATTAGCATTAAAAATAAACAACAAATACTTAATTAAGTTTTACGAACAAAATCCATGGGATTATAATCAATCGGAAAAAAAATCAATGGTTATGGGGGGTTCCAGACCCGGGGACACCCCACCCTCCTGCGTGTGCCATTGTGTGACGTCATAGTCACATGATAATGATGATCACGTGTTTCCACTCAATCAGTTCGTCATAGTTCTGCTAACGAATATAGGTAAAACAAATGCATTCGATTAAAAAATGCTTGTGTAATATAAGAATATTTTTAAGAATGTTTGAAAAGTCTGATGAATTTTAACAT